TTTGTGAGCCACACTGGTCATTGGTTGACTTCTGGATGCAATTCAAGGTGCTGATTGAAATCTATAAAGCCTTTCACAGTTTGGGTCATGGTTATTTATGAGTCTGCCTGCCTTCAGTAGCTTCTGCCCGTCTATAAGATCTAACTAGATAGGAACAGATTATTTTTCATGTTTATTGGACAGCTCAGAGAATGTTTAGAAACAGTTGGCTGTCAACGTATTGAAATGTAAAATGATGGAGCGAAAACTTACCTATTTGATATATGCTTGCTCTTCTGAGATTTCAGTATTTTAATATTCATAAGTTTGTTAATATGATTTAGAGAAAAATAAAGTGTAAAGATGTGAATGTAATTTTGAAATATATCAAATTTTACTACTATTAATATAAGAAGAGACACTGATTTGGGCATGATGGAAACATGCTATTTTGCAGTTATAGAGAGGGTACTATGTCCTCTTTTACTAGTTTATTATTAGCTTTTTCTTCACAATGGAAACACAAATCAACAATATTCTTTTGGGACAGTTTTAATATTGTATTTAAAAACTAAGCATGTCTGTCACAGGGAATGCCCCAGGTTCATGATCTGATGGGAACCGGGCAAGGACAACTAGTTTCCAGATTTTATCTTTTATTCATGTTTTATTCAAGACAGAAATAAGCAGTTTAAATATAAGGCATGCTTTGTCTAAGTAGCCAAGTAGATTCATGTTGTACACTTCAACATTGCCAATTGGTATACATCCTTTCATGAGTGAAGCTATCCCTCTTCTCTAGGCAAGCGTAGCATAGCCTGGCCTTGTGGCACTTCACACACTTTTCCCCCCATCTAAATGTCCATCTGTTCTCAAAAGCATTCCAGGAAAGCAATTATGAATACAGTATGTATACTCTACATGTCTAAGGAAAAGGTTGAACCTTCATCCACTCTCAGCCAATGAGAAAATAGGCAATTGTTTGGTTATTTCTTTGGAGGGCAAATCTTTGAGTGTATCTTCATCATCTTCATGCTCACAGAATTGTAGGGTTAACTATTCACTATGGTGTTTCTCTTCAGCCTTGTTTCTCTCCTAGACTTACATTGTTTAATCCAGGGGTCTTCAAACCTGGCCCTTTTATGACTTGTGGACTTCAACTCCCAGAATTCCTCAGCCAGGCATGCTGGCTGAGGAATTCTGGGAGTTGAAGTCCACAAGTCATAAAAGGGCCATGTTTGAAGACCTCTGGTTTAATCAAAGAAACCTGTAGTGTATCCAACCCTGGCCAGGCATACACTGTGGAAAAGAAAAATACATAAGTACAACTGAGCCCAAAATTTCCATTGCTAATTTCCATGACAGCTGTTAGGTGAAATGTGCTCTATTTTACAACCTTTTTTTGCCACAATTGGCAAAATTGGCTCACTGTAGCCATTAAGTAAATCATGCAACTGTTAAGCGAATCTGGCTTTCCCTGTTGACTTTGATTGTGGGAAGCCAGTTTGGAAGGTTACAAACATTGAACACATTATCCCCATACACTGCAACTGTCATAAATATATGCCAGTTGCCAAGTGCCCACATTTTGATCACACGACCACGGGGATGCTGCAACGGTCATAAGTGTGAAAACTGGTCATAAGTCACTTTTTTCAGTGCTGTTATAACTTGGAATGGTCACTAAACAAATGGTTGTAGGTCCAGGACTACCTGTAGAGAAGCTCATTGTCAAACTAATCATGGTTGGTGAAAGTGCAGCTAATGTTAAGTATTAAGAAGATATAGCTGCTGTATTGTTAACTTACAGGTATATGCTTGGTGAATTTATAGCTGATAATGAAGAAGTAAAGATTTTGCTTTTGTTTTACTGAGTTCAAGAACTGATAAAAGTGGCTTAAAGTGCTTGAGATGTAAAGTGGGATTAGCCCTAGGAGGAAAGGCAATGTCAAATTTAGACAACATAGTGTAAAAGCGTATTTAAGTGACAACAAACATCACAATACTTCAAACAAATCTTCCAGTGTTAACTTTCACTATGAAAGCTGGCCATTGAGAAACAAAGGAAGAAAGGAGATGTGCTATTTGAGTTGTGGTTTGGGAGACAATTATTAAGAGTCCTGTGGCCTACAGAAAAACCCTAAGCCATTGAAAAATACATAGTGTATAGCTTCAAGAAATATGCCAATTAACACATATTGAAAGGCTCAAACGAATAACAATGTTTTAACACCTGGTTACTGACAAATAACAGTAGCCCTGATTTTATCAGAGCAAAAAAACCCAAGCAGAATCTTATAGAAGCTATCAGAAACTGACTGTGTTGTTAAGGGAGGCACAGTAAGCATTCTCTGGTTCCTTAATAAAAGCTGCAAAAGCTTATGTACATATGTGAATCAATTTCAGCTCCGCTGAAAAGAGGAGGCTTTGTGTCAAATGTTCGGAAAGCAATATTTTTGTATCCTAGAAGGCATTGACTGAATCATGTTAGTGCTTTTACCCAAGCTTTCTTCTGGAATTAAGCAGTGATGCGATTTCAAGTAAGAACTTCTACTGGGTATTTCTGTTCCTTCCCTCCCTCCCTTTCCCATTCCTTTTTTCTTGGACTGTGTATTATGTCTTTCAGATTGTAAGCCTCAAGGCAGGGACTGTCTCATTTCTGAAATTTGAAAGCCGCCGCAGAAGCCTTGTCACAATTTGTGAACCAAGAGAGAGAAGAAAAGCCAAGAGTGAATTAACTCCGTCTGTTTTGCCAATATCTGAACCTCTTGCATAATTCCCCAAAGATCCATAATCATTCAAACGATTATATTTAGAGCAAAGAATTTAAAATAAACTTTCAGGGCAAATACATCAAAGAGCTTTACAGTAGTCCACTTCCAAATTCCCCAAGAACATATTTAATTGTTTACATTGGCTAATATTATGATTAAACATGTCATTTATATTTCAATTCTCTCTTGCATGGATTTTAAAAGTAAGCTAACTTTAAACTAAAAAGCAGCCTCCGGCTTGCATTCATAAAGATGTCTGGCATTGTCTTTTTTTTTTTTTTCAGGAGAAGAGAAAAAAACCCCATATACCCTTAATAGGCATTTCTAAATAACTAGTCAGCAATTTAACAATGATTTAAGAAACCATCAGATTAATACTTATAAAAATTGGTGACTGTGGAAAAATAGATTGTGCTACTTTGATGCCTGCTGTGACACTTTGCAATGATTTTCTTTAATTTGGTGGAGCACAAAGGAAGCACTTCTACCTGTTCTACAGGGAAGCAAAATAATTGTGTCCTCTTGCAAGACAGGCTTATTTAGACAATAAAAAGTTGTATAAAGTTAAAGGTACTATACATTAACAGATAATCTTCAGCCACAAAATGATAAATACAGTTTAGGAGCTGAAGTGGACTGGGTAGAAGAGTTAACGCTGGCCACAATGGAGTCTTTAAACCTTCTTCAAATAGGGCTTCTGATCTTTTCCTTCTTGTGATTTTGAGCTCCCTTAAAAAAAAATAGAGAAGAAACACAGCTAGTAACATCTTATACGTTCCTGAAGCTGCATAAGGTATTGTTGGTTTCTTCCCATTTGGAATCCACCAAATTAGGTAGACAGTAGTTTGAAAAAGACACAGTTTCAGAGCAGGCAGAAGGGTTTTTTGTTTTTTTTGGGGTCTTGTTTCAGAGAACAGTATGGAAATTAAGGGGCTTTGAATGCACTGGATCCAAAGTTTCATTATATTAAACTCCAACATCCTTATTGAAATGCCTTTATTTACTCTAACTCAAAATGGGCAATTTCTCACTGGACAGGGATCTCTAATGAGAACTTCTTTAATAATCTTTCTTACCAGAATTTCTAGATGAACGTGTGCAATATTATGTGTCTGTACAATATCTAATGGATACTATCCTACAGACCACAGGAGTGCATTCTAAAATGTAAGATAAGATAAGATAAGATAATCTTTGTTGTCATTTTTTTACTGTGGCATACTAGTACACATTAAAAATGAAATTCTGTTGCTTGCTCTCAAAAGTGTACACATACATAACACACATGTAAACATGCTATTTACAACATATGTATATACCTACACCCTTACCTATAAATACATATAAATATTAATCACTGTGTTTAGGTAACAGTCTTAGATCAGCTTCAAAGATACTTAACTTGCTCAAAGCTATCACTAAGTCTTATAAGACAAAACTTTGCAGTTATTTATAAATATTATTATTGAGAAAGCAATCTAAAGAGCAAATTTTAGATAGATTGAGTGGAATGGAATTTTGTACATTTAGATGGGTAACTGTTAATCTCTGTATCAAACATTACAATAGAATTTAGATTACAGCTTATTCCACAACAATAACAAAAGAATTTTGAACTTATTGGATCCCTTTGCGTTTATAAACAAAAGGTATTAATGAAACATGCTGAATTAATGAATCAGGATATTTCTGCTATATTCTGGGAAGAAGTCATTGAACATATTAATTTGACTTTGGCTCAGGGTGTAATAATTTCAGATTTCCATATGTTTTTGAACAATGTACCCGATACATGAAAATTAATGGCTGGCAATGAAAATGAATTCTCCATGACTTATTTATTGCTAAAAGACTTGTTCTTCAATATTGGAAAGATAAATTTATGCCCCCAATTACTCAGTGAATTAAAGACTTAAAGTTTCTTCTAACTTATGAACAAGTTGCTTACAATGTAAATTATATATGGACAATTATAATGAAATACGATCATCCTTTATTGACACATTATGTAAATCCTTATATAGATATATGCATGTATAAGACTTCATGTACATATGTAGTGTCCCATTCTTTGTATTTCTTTTTTTCCTTTGTTTAATTAAATAAGGCTTTTTTTTTTAAAAAAAGGTAACAATTCTAATTATTAATTTTAAGTATGGAATCAGAACTCCATGACCAAATCTTTTCCTGCTGTTGCACTCAATTGAATTACTGCTTAGCTAATTTTAACTCACTTTATTTTGACAGGTTGTTTAAAAAACCTAAAAGAGCTAAATGTAAGTTTTAACCGTTTGAAGACTGTCCCTCCAGAACTGGGAAACTGCGAGAATCTTGAAAAACTTGATTTGTCTGGAAATTTAGAACTAATGGAGCTTCCATTTGAAGTAAGACTTTGAGCTCACTTTTGATGTGTTGATCAATTGAAGAATGGAATGTTTAAAGATAATTTTATTCCCAATTAATTAAGGCCATGTTAAGTATTACACCATTACAAATGTATCCTATGGTTCAACGGTGCTTTAATTACCTCATTTTTTAGAAGTCATGTAAATAAAGAACCTCAGTGAATTAGATATGAATTTGTTTACCTATGACAGATTCTGAATCTGTATGTGCTTGTGGACAGAAGATCAAATTATGCCAAAACATATTTTGTTTAAGGCTAATTGTGTGAATGGCTTTGTGCCATGAAAAACAAAATTATGCAGACAGCTGGAGCCATGCTATGCCATGAAGACTTGGCGGGTTAAACATATTTGGCTTGGTTCCAAGACTGCCATTAGCAGCAAAACATGGCTTGGCAAAAATTCAGGGCATTTCCAGACAACCAACATTCCTGTCACCTAAGACACCTGACCTGACAAAGAAGAAGTTGGGATGGAGGAGATAAAATTATTTGGAGTTATTTATTTCATTTGAAGTCCACGGTTCTTGCAGGGAGCTAGTGACCAACTTGACTTTTCAGGACAATATAGGAGCATAGAAACAGTAAGCCAACTTTTGTCATCTGTTGGTTAGCAAATAGTATCTTAACCAGCCTGCTTGTGTCTGTGTTGTTGTTTTTTAAACATATAATTCCTTCTACTTTATAGAAAACAATAAAGGATGAAAAGACTTTCAAATGCCTTTCACAATAGCAACCTTCACATGAAACCTGAGTTAACTGCATGTTGTGGCTGCGTTCATCAAGAAGCATTCAAACAGCATCAATTCTGGCTCATTTCTGTTCGCCTAAATCAGGGGTAGGCAACCTTGGCTCTTTTATGACTCGTGGACTTCAACTCCCAGAATTTCTGAGGCTGGCTCAGGAATTCTGGGAGTTGAAGTCTACGAGTCATAAAAGAGCCAAAGTTGCCTACCCCTGGCCTAAATCTTAGCTCCTAGATGAAGCAGTCACAATATGTACTTCCAGATGGGGATGTATATCCTTTCAGGAATGAGCTGATCCCCACCATATTTATAATGGGGATCAGCTCAGTCCTGAAATGATATATAACCCCATCTGGAAGTGCCCATAGTTACACATCTTTGTAGTACAGCTGAAATCTTTTTATCAATTGTTCAGATGCTTTAGGAAAAGAAAACATTCTTTAATATTGTGTAAAAATATTAGGAATATGTACTCAACCCACCTGTATTTGTCTAAAAGCCCATAGGATACATATGTCTTGTTATATGCCTAACAGAGGGTAAAGTGAAATCATAATAATTATAATAGTATTTTTATATTGCTCCCTCTGCAAGATGAGTAGAGGCATGCTCACTGAGACCATTTCTATTGCATTAGATTACTTTTATTTCATTAATAGCTCCTAAGGTCTTAGAAGTCTATTAATTTTTGCTGGAAATATTAGGCACTGAACAGTGTTACTGATTTAAAGACGGCATAATTTACTTAATGTGTTTATGATGTAATTGGAATATTAGGCCTACGGCTGTATTTGAATATTTAGTCTGATAAAATGCTACAAAAACAAACAGTTTTTAAATATTTTTTAAAAATGATATGATTTAGTCCTTGGTTCAATGGCCAAAAATAGGTTTGCAATGATGTGATATTTTAAAGTATGTCTTGGCACTCTGAAGTTCTCATACTAGAGATTGGTGCTAAATTAGCATAACACTGTCTAACATGTGCAAGTAGATGCCCACTGCACCCCCACAAACTTGCCATTCTGTTTCCTATGTTGTCAAGGAAGGAGGTACAAATATTAGAACACTAAAATGATGATGTGTGTGTGTGTGTATGTGTGTGTAGGGTGTAGGACAGTGGTGGCGAACCTATGGCACGCGTGCCAGAGGCGGCACTCAGAGCTCTCTCTATGGGCACACATACCATCGCCCCAGCCCTGCCTCCCCCCATGGCCCCCACCTCACCAGCAGCCCCCCCGGAGGAGAATCACCCCCAAGCATGGCCTACGCAGAGCAGCGCAGCCAAGAACCTGGCAGCCGGGCAGCAGGGACAAGACTCCGCCCTCGTGCCCTGTCGCGTGCAGTTGATTCTATGGGGCACAGGCAGAGGGCGTGGCTGCCATGATGCTGCTGGGCCACCTGGGTGATCTGTGGCCGGTTGTGGAGGTGGTGGGTGGCCCTGTGGGCAGGTGGGGCAGGGGGCGGGGAATGGCATAAGGCGGGCTGGGGGCAAGGTGGGGGCAGAGCAGGCAGGGTGGGGACAAGGCCTGTTTTTGGGCACTCGTCTCTAAAAGGTTCACCATCACTGGTGTAGGATGTAAGTATAAACATATCATCATTTCAGCCATTGTCTATCCACTGCAGGATGAAGGCCTCTTCTGCATGTTTCCAACCTATACAGTCCTGAGCTTACTTTTGCCAATTGGGCCCAGAATAGTTGCTGATGTCATTGATCCATCTTATGTATAAGCATATTTGTGTGTGTGTGTGTGTGTGTATGTGTATGTGTATATGTATATATGTATATATGCATATATATAAAAGTTTATTCAGTGAGCAATATTAGGTTTGTCAACCAAATGTTTTAATCCTCAGGGTAATAGCATAATTCACATAGAGACTATTTAAAATTTTATACTAACCTTAAGCTGTATACAACTATGTATGTATGTATGTATGCATGTATGTATGTATTTTGTTTCTTTATTTAGTAATCTCCTTTTTCATAAAGAGGACTAGCAATATGAAGTAAAACGATTAAACTAAAAGAACTAACAAGCTTAGTACTTTTAAAACCACATTGTATAAAAATGCATCAAGCTCATCTCTGTTTTAAAGCAAATATATTTTTGTTATGATCAACTTTCTGTTGTGGAATTTTAGTCAAGGATGTGTCATTTTTGAATACTGTTTAAAAAATACAGAAACAATAGAAGAGAACCACTGAGAATGTGCTTTCTGGTACAGATTCCCCATTTCTATGGAATCAGAAAATTTTAATGTCACTTATGAAAATGCCTTTTGGGTTTCCTCAGATTATTTGGGGCACTCAATGTTGTTAGACAATGGCGAGGCAAATTGCCAGTTATATGGAAATTACATTCTTCAGCAAATTAATGCACAGTATTTTATCATTGAAACAAATGCAATTTTTCATTTGGCAGGAATGTATCCTGCAGTAACTGGTGACATTTGGACAATGTGTGTGTTGGCTTGGCAAATACCAAAGACATCTGTCAGCAAGTGTCTATGAAAATTGAACCCTGTGTGTGACACATACACAAATCAAATGGAATGTTGCTTTTAAACATAGAACATACACTTCTTTTCTATTTATTATTAAAAAAGAGATGGAACTGAAAACACTTTTTCTTAGATTAAATGCAGGCATGAGAAGCCATTCTGAGAAAAAACTGTATTGAGGATAAAGGCTTAAAATCCCACAGCCATGAGCTCACTTCCTATTAGAACTCTTTTAAATTTTTTAAAAAAAACCCAGATTTACCAACATGCTTTTTAAAGATAATTGTTACTTTCTTTCCTTGTTTATGCTTTAAAGGCTGAGTGCTACTTTATTAGACTATAGAGGTGCAACAATTCTCTCATAAATGCTGATCCAGTCTGTCATGATCTCTAGATAAAGTTTTACCGCTGAATATAGATGCCTTTAATTAGCATGGTATAAAGCTGTTAAGATACAGCCAGCTCCACCAGCATCTCATTCTCCTTTGTGAAGGCTGGCTACACTTTTATTTTAAAACAAAATAAAAATCAATGTTGACAGGATGGAGGTTAGAGCCCCCAGTGACAAAAAGGGAGATGACAACATAACACAACACCAGAAATGGACTTTTTAGAGAAGCCTTTTTCTTGTAGAAATGTTATGGATACCTATCTCTAGCTAGCAGAGTAACTTTCTTTCTACGTTTATCAGACCTGGTTGATTGCGGGTTTAACTAGAGCAGCCCCAAGGCTTTGAGTCAGAAATTTTAAAATATACTGAGTTCTTGCCTATCATATATTACCCTACTTGTTTCATCATTTTTGATTGCAATTATCCACACTTAGAATACTGGTCAGTGACTGCAACAACAACAACAAAAAACCTGGAATGTGGACTCGGTTAATGGATCTGAATGGGGCCATAAAATTTATATAAATAAGAAGAGATAATCCAAACAAGGATAAGCCATGCAATTCATATTGTCATTTATTTTAGGTGACAATATATCATCTACATAGCACTGGATTTAGGTTGTTTCCAGACCAATGGTTCCTAACATCACCGATCAAAACACTTTTGCAGCTTTCCTATCTTTCTTTCCTTAGTAGATTTTTTTTTTTGTCAAAGAGGGACAACAATCCAGAGTCATTGAGAAAATAGGGGCTTGGGGGGGATATGTAAATATTAATTCAGTAAATTATATCACCTAAATTCCCTTCCATTGATATTCTATGTTTTAAGTACAGTAGATCAATTGTACAATTAAAAACCTTTAGAATCCCACCTTTTCAAACTGACATTTCTGTCCTCTCCTATGAAGGGAGATGCATGTAAAACTAGTGCCAAATCATTCACTCCTTCTTACAATGTTTACCAAATGTCTGACAGTTTATGAAAAGGAACAGCTGAGTTCTATAGAAACAGGAGAGTTTAGGGTGTTGATATTGACACCCCTATATTTTCTTTTTCCAATATTAGTAGGAAGGTGTGAAGAGCAAAAGAGCAGGTGTGAGATGTCAAATGTCAAGTGGGATTCCACAGAAGTATTAGCACCACACTGGGTTCTACAAATGTTTGGAGACTTTAAAGAAATATGTGCAAGTAGATGGGAACCCAGAGCAAGAACATAAGGCAGTCTTCATTCAATTGTTTTAAATCAATTGTATATCATTCAGATAAGAACATTGTGAATTTCGCCATTTTTCTTCACAGGGAAAGGCAAGTTGGATATGTTAGGAGAGACAAAAA